GAGTGTGGACGCCCCCGGAGCAGCGGGCCTCTTGGGGTGCACGGCGGGGAGGGCGAGAGCCGAGAGCTCGTCATTCCTCACGTACTTCTCGGGGCCTGTTTGCAGCGGCGAAGCGGACCGACGGGGCACGGACCCGCGGGGGTCTCTGTTGGCAACAACTGCGTAGGAAACAAAACCGGGAAGGGCGGGGGGCGGGGGCGCTGTTTGCGCTGGGACCCCAGCGATAGAAGGGGCGGCCTTGGAACGGTGGGGGAGAGCGGCCGGAGCGGCGGGCAGAGCCAGGGTCGTCCTGACTGGTTGGGAAGGCCAGTCCTCGGTCGCCGCCTCGTGCCCCTGACGGGACGCGCGGGTGAGACCCACCCAGCAGGTTTCCACGAGCCCCGAGGGGTCGTCTCGGACTCTGAAGCTTGAGAACCGCTGGCCTAGAGGACGGTGAAAAGGAGCCCTGGTGTAACCCGCCGGCCCCTGCCGTGGTTCGTGCTGTTCCAGGAATGTGGGGAGAAAAAAGGGTGGTTTTTGGAGGAATCGAAGGACTTCCTTTTGCCTGAAAGTAGTGTTTGAGCAGGGTGGTGTCTGCAGTCGGGAGAACCCCTCCTCCCCAAAGGATGCGAGTTTCACTCCCAGCCCCGCACAGATTTGCATAGGAGTTAGTTGTTCACCGAAGTGTTGGACAAACTCCTGGAGAATTGTAGTGAACTCGTTGCCCTTGTAAGCAGGCAGGCGGAGGAGTACCTGCGGCTGTCCCGGGTGAAGTGCGCCGGGCTGTCCGCTCGCACCACCGAGACCAGCCGCGCGCTCGTGTGCCTGGACCTGGCCGCTTCCTGTAGGAGGCGCCCCTTGGACAGGGTAAGCAGCTGCCGCTGAACGTCTGAATTATAATACGTTTTAACTTCTGGTTGGACTAGTCCCCATCAAAACTCTTGTGTTTTAGAATTTTTCTGGCTGTTATTATTTTAGATGAACTTTAAAACCATTTTGTTAAGTTGGGGAAAAAAATTTTGCAACATACTCTTTACTATCTAATTTCCCTGGCCAGTCTTCACTCAAGGCCACCTCCCTGCTGCCGCTAGCATCCTCCTAAACCACATACTTTGAAACACACATGTGTTTTTCCTTTAGTATTACAGTGGTTGAGAGCACAGGCTGGGGAATGGGGAAGTCACATGTTGAAGCCAAATCTCTACACCACCAGTTACTAGCTCTGTGAGCCTCCACTTTCCTCATCCATAAAGTGGGAATGAAAATATGCATCTCACTGGATCATTACAAGGATTAAACAGTATCCTCTGTGTAACACACTTGATGCAGTCCTTGTTACATGGTGGCGTCAGAATGCCCTTGGCTCCCAGTGGGTTAGCTCCCCGTTACCATCAAACTCAACAGCTTCTCTTGACCACTAAACCAAGCTACACAGCTCCCTCGACAAACCATGCACTCTAACGGCTTAGGTTTTATAAATGCAACAACTTCTTCAGCCTGGAATGCTCTTCTGGTGGCTCCTGTTTGAGTTCCACGGCCCTTGTTGACAACTCTCCCAGGCAGAGCTGGTTTCTCTCCCAGTTTCCCCCTTTTCTCCCTGTGCCTCCTCCACACTCCCAACCACCCATCCAACCAGTCCCCCTCCTTCCCAGTGAATTTCACATTGGCACCTTGTTGAAAAATGGGCGACTGGCAAGGCATCTCCTATGTTTCTGCAGCTCAGCTGTAGGAACACTTGTTTTGTAAATTGTCTGCATGTACACAGCTGCCTTTCTGAAGTGTGAGCACCTCGAGAGCAGCCTTTCACTCTGACATGATCACTGGTGTTTCACTAGATGAGGCTAAACCTCTGGATGGAGTGACCTGCTGCAGAATTCACTGAAGAGATGGGGTGCTAATGTATAGAACTTATGATTTGTTTGTGTTTTCCTTTCAAAGGATTATATAGCTAAACTTTCTGGTTTGAACAAGAAGATGTACCAGAGCTGTCTTAAATCTTTTGAGTGTTTACTGGGCCTGAACTCAAGTATCGGAATACGAGACCTGGCCGTCCAGTTTAGCTGCACAGAGGCGGTGAACATGGCTGCACAGATGCTACAAAGGTACAAGGCATAAAGGACCTTAACTGAAAATGTGTATCAGTACATAAAGCAGAGTTATCCAATGTCCTGTTAATTTTGTGTTAAATCACTAAGATGCTAAAGTGATAGAATGTGTATGTCATACATTTAAATAGCTTTTATGTTCTGGTTTGCATTTTCAATCCCCTGAAGTACTATTTTCTAACAACTAATTCTACAAACACTGCTCTCCCTCAGCTACGAGTCCAGCCTTCCACAGACACAGCAAGCGGATCTCGACTTTTCCAGGCCGCTTTTCACCACCGCCGCACTGCTCACAGCCTGCAAGTAAGTGTCTGCTCACATTCAGAAAAGTCCACCCTTCTCAAATGGAGTTCTCATTCCCAAGTAATACTTCTAACTTGATATATTTCAACGTGGCATATGTTTCCATATAAATAACGTTAGGAATAATGGCCAGGTTACCAGGTTCTTAGTTTGTCCCACAACATAGCTGACCACGTGAAAACAGTATTGCCGGAAGCCCACTTACCAGGTGGCAGCCATGTCTATAACTGAGTGTTCCCGTTTCATAGTTCACCTCTTAAAACTGATGAAGTGCCCTAGCAGGTCTGGCTCAGTGATTAGAGCATTGCCCGCGGACTGAAGGATCCCAGGTTCAATTCCAGCCAAGGGCACGTACCTCAGTTCCAGGCTCGATCCCCGACCCCCACCTGGGTGCAAGGGGGAGGCAGCCAATCAATGTGTCTCTCTCACATCGATGTTTCTCTCTCCCACCTCCACTCTCTCTGAAAACAATGGAAAAAATATCCTCAGGTGAGGATTAAAAAAACAACACTGATGAAGTCTGTCTTTCCAGCAATGGCCATTGTGGTTTTCCACTTAAACAAAACACCTGTACTGGTCTTAAGAACAGTAACTTATCAAATTCTTTTGTAGGATTTTAAAGCTGAAGGTGGATAAAAATAAAATGGTAGCCACGTCCGGTGTAAAAAAAGCCTTATTTGATCGACTGTGTAAACAATTAGAAAAGATCGGGCAGCAGATAGACAGTGAGTATCAATTCCATGTTTCAAAAGTGTATCATGTGAGAATGTAAACCTGTCAGTAACAGTCCAGTATTTTCAAACTTACAAAATGGCAGCTTTGAATTCTGTGTTTAATGTGGACCAGGTACATTTTAGTGAGAAAATTGTATTTTCTGTTCAATTAAAGTAGCTTAGTAACTTTAAAAATCTATAATCCCCAAAACATTCCTGAAAATAGATTCACGTGCTTCAGTATTAAGTGCCAGCCTCCATACTCTTAAGCTGGAATAGAAGGGGATTCTCTAGTCTGCCAAGAGAAGCCAAGGAGAGAAGGGCAAGATCATCGCCTTCTCCTTTTTCCTGATAGCCATTCACACAAAACCTAGTTTTCATTTTTCATCCGAAATATGCCCTTGAGAATAGGAGAAAAATTAACCTTGTTCTCACTTCTGTTTTCTTAAAGAAGAGCCTCAAGGCTCAGGTACTCCACCATGGAAGAAAAGGAAGGCAGCGGTGGAACCTCTGGGACAGGGTAAGGTGCACCAGCGTGGGTGACCGATAAAAGTCACCCACTTACTGCAGCGTGCATTTGCGCTGCTCAGGTATCCACATTGACATAGGCATCGCGTCAGTAGGGTGCAGCTGAAGCCTGGCTATTTGGCTTTAAATCCTTGACCTTCTACTGGCTGTGTGATTTTAGGAACATCACCTAATTTTTGAGAGCCTCAATTTCTAAATCAATAAAAGGTTATCCACCTTAGCACCCACTTCCTAGAATTTCAGTGAGGGTGGGATATGAGATGATGTGATTACAGTGCCTGGTTCGGTGCCTTGAGGCACAAGATGAGTGCTCAGTGCGCATTACCTGTTCTCATTGTCTGGGATGCTTGGAGCATACGAGCAAAAATCTGATGTGTTAGCTGCTGGTTCCACTTTACATTTCAGTGTCTTATTCCCTGTTGTTACCTTAACAATTAAAGTGGACACCTGAAAGAAGCTTACTTTTTTCTTACATCATCTGTAAACATAATTTTGAAACACTTTTGAAATTTCTCCTAGAAAAAGAGAAGGTGGTAGAGATCCCAAATAAACCGCAAAGTGATGAAGACCTGACGCTGGATTACGAAGAGTGGAAAAGGAAGATTTTGGAAAATGCTGCCAGAGCACAGAAGGCTGGAACAGAGTGATTGCAGCAGCCAGACTGCCGTGTGCTACAGGCCACCATGTACCTGCCGCTCAACAAAGGTGTGAGTGCTCCAGAGTTTTCAGCTTTTATAACAAGGATCCTAAGACTGTCCCGTAACAGGAAGGCACCAGCACTGGGCCTGCTCTGGGCAGCAGGCTGGCCCCGGATGTGGGCAACAAATACATTACATCAGCCACAGTCCTGGTTGGCGTAGCCTTGGCTCTCACGGGTCTGCAGTCCTGCAAATAGAATTGGAGCCATTTTACTCTTTTAAGCAAAAGACAGGTCTCCTGTCCTAGGCTATACAATTCAGGCTGAATGGAGTTACAGATTTTATTTAAGTTTCTGTGTAAGTTTCTTGGTTTGACTAAATCAGTATGTGATACCTAAATTAATAAATATTATTTTTATGTGTATTCAGTTTGTCTTTATCATCAGTTTGGGGGACCCCTTGCTGTTTACTGTAGCAGGAAAGAAGCCCGGGTGGCTGGACACCGAGCCATACTGCTCAGCAGTGCCCAAGCGCACAGACTCTGGCATCAGACTGCCTGGGTAAACCCGGTTCCGCCACTTACCCCTGTGAAACTGAACAAATTCATTGTCTTCTTTGTGCCTCATCCATTAGTGGGACTGAAAATGGTGTCCCTGCCCCTTTGGAAGAGTATGAGTTAATGCATGTAAAGCATTTAGCACAGTACTTGCTATAAGTAAGTATTTAGTAAATACTATAATAGAGAAACTCACATGTAGAGTTCTAGTGTAATGAATTACACATTCATGCTATATTAAAAAATCAAATGGGCCAAGGTTTATTTTCTTTGATATCCACATACTGAACAATGTAACCTGATTAAATACTACTTATTTTAAAATTAAAACTACGTGAAAAGCCCTTCATGGAAGATAAGTTGCAGTGGGCTCTGAGTTACCACGCCAGATGTGTTCATGAAGAATGCAGTAAAGTGATTGCTTTTTAATTTTTTTTTTAATCCTTACCTGGAGATATGTTTTTATTGATTTTTCAGAGAGAAAGGAAGGGAGGGAAACATCAATGTGAGAGAAGCTTCTGTCAGTTGCCTCCCGTACACACCATGGCCAGGGATCAAACCCACAACCTACATATGTGCCCTTGACTGGATTCGAACCCGATACCCTTCAGTCCTCCAGTGGACGCTCTAACCACTGAGCAACACTGGCCCCAGGGCCTTTCTGGGTTTTGAAAGTAGCCATCCTAAGGGGTGTGAGGTGCTATCATTGTGGTTCTGATTTGCATTCCCTGATGATTACTGAGCACTTTTCCATGTGCCATTTGTATGTTGTCTATGGAACAGTGTCTATTCAAGTCTTGTCCATTTTTGTATTGGGTTGTTCGTTTTTGTCCAGTTGTAGGAGCCTTCATACAGTCCAGATATTAACCTCTTACCAGATCTATGACTTGCAGATATTTCCTCCCACTTTTTAGCTTGTCTCTTCACTGTTGATTCCATGGGAGTAAATATAGTTACTGTTTGTGACTCCTTCCCCTCCTCCCCCCATCTTTGCCTTAAAAGTCCGTGGCTGTAATTATTTTGATTATCTGAATCGAAGTAGGCACTTGGTTATTTCTTAAATTAGTTGGGGGATAGGGGAATTTGCCTTAAAGCAGTATTGTCCAAATGCCCTTCTAGGGCAGGAATTCTTTGTTCAGCAGTTTCTCAACATGTTCACACCCCAGGTGAGGGAGGCATACCACTTACTCCATATGTTTCATCCTGTTGAAAAGGCATTTTGGAAGTTCAGTTCTTTAACAACTCCTAATGGTTTAACTGATTTTTTTAAACGTGATCATGAAAGTTTTTAAATATGTACAACAGTAAAGAGGGCAGTGTAATGAAACCGCTAGCCGGTCACCCAGACCCAACAGTTAGTATGAATTGGCCACACCTGCTTCACTGTAATCTCCCTTTTCTCCTAAAGTCATTGAGCCTGAGTATAACCAACCTCATCACCATCCTCATACCTCACAAAACTAATAGAAATTCAGTCATCAAGTACACACTTTAGAATTACCTTTCCCTGGATGTCTCTAACAGCTTTTTATTTGCTCGAATCGGGGTCAAAACAAGGCCACACTGGACAATGGGGTTGCTAATTTTTAATTTTTAAAACAATACATGCTCATTATAAAAAAAACAATTGATAAAAAGTAGAATTCCCCCTCTCCCCATCACCCATTCTCCACAACCCCCTGTTCAGTTTCTTGCATATCCTAGAAAATATGATGCACATATAAGCATGTCTCCACAAATGGGATGATGCCACACACATGCTCTGTGGAAAGAAGGCCATCGGTACAGGTCTGTGTCTAACAGCCACAAGGTGTCCCCCATGTGGACACAGCAAAACTTAGTTAACTAAGCCCAGACTGATAGGCACACGTGGGTGGTTTTCCTTGGGCCACTAGCAAGTGTTAGGATAAACATTTTGCATAAATCTCTGTCCACTGGTTCAAGTTTTGCTGAGGGATAAGTTTCTGGAAATAGAATTGCTGGGTGAAAGTGTGGGCAGGACTTTTATGTGGTTACACAGCCATCAACAGTGGGAAAGTTCCGTTTCCCAGGCCCTTCCCAATTTGCTGAGTGAAAAAGAGGCTCCTGCCTGGCCGATGTGGCTCAGCGGTCGGGCATCGACCTAGGATCCAGGAGATTGCGGTTAGATTCCAGTCAGGGCACATGCCCAGACTGCGGGCTCAATCCCCAGTCAGGGGTGTGCAGGAGGCAGCCGGTCAATGACTGTCATCAGTGATGTTTCTATCTCTCCCTCTCCCTTCCTCTCTCAGAAATCAATAAAGATACATTTTAAAAAATGGAAGAGGCTCCTGACTGCCTGCGAGTTACTCTGGCCAGTAGTTCCCAGTGACCGTGCAAATGGAAAAGTCCTGTTGGAAATCGCTGATACTGGCACAGGTGCAATCTAAAAAATTCTCAGCTAAGCGTACACACCAGCAAAGTAGAGAACTAAAAATATCCAGAAAAATTAAAGCTTCATAAAAGCTTCAGAATAGATAAAAGGGCAAAAATCCATACTCCCTCTCACTGGTGTGGGCCTCAAGAAGACTGGAGAGAAATTATTTCTCTAGGTAAAAAATAACAGCATATAGGGGAAAATAAAATTTGGTAGATAAAGGATTTTTTCTATTTGCCTGTCCAGTGTAGATGCCACTAACTACATGTGGCTATTAAGCATTTAAAGTTAACTAATACAACTACAGAACTGAATTTCTAACTATTAAATGTCAAGCTGGATACTTAATTCAATTATGAGAAAACATTTAAGGTATTTTAAGCAACTTGAGCCTTTTTCCACAGTGAGTTTTATGAAATCTATCCAAATTCAATAGGTCTGATGAAGACCTAACGTGGGAACTGAACTACACCAGATTGTGGAGGCTTCCTCTGAAAAAGAGAATATGCAGTATCTCAGTAATTGTTTTTATGTTGATTACATACTAAAATAATGCTTTCAATTTATTATGTTCGATAAATTACTAAAATTTCTTTCACCGGGTTTTTGATTGAGCTATTAGAAATTTTTAAGTGTATGGCTCGCGTTATGTTTCTGTGACACTGCTGCTGTAGATCCAGGCAACTCACTACAGTGTTCTGGGGACAGATTCAGAGCCTATGCCAAGAACCTGAAGTCCCAGAGGCTGAGGATCACCTCCATAGCGCCCTCTGCAGGCTGCCCTTGAAACAACCTGGGGGGACTGCTGCTTTGAAAACCAAGTCCCTGTTACCATCTTAGGAGAGGCGGGTCTCCAGCACCTCTTCCAAAAGCCCCCCCTAGCTAGCAGGCCAGCACTGAAACCCTTGGTTCCCAGCCAGGCCGTCAACGTGAGAACGACAGCGGCGGCATGACCGCGCCCCCGCCCACGCCCATGTCTTCTGCCGAAAACAAGTCTTCATTTGGACAAAAACCCTCAAAGGCTGTGAAACTATTGCTTGGCCAATTAACAGCTCAAAGTAACTACAACTAAAACTGCTGACCCTAGAGGTCGTGGGTATAGCACAAATCAGGTTAGAAGGGAGGGGAGTAAAAGGATTGTTTGCTTTTGCACAATAGTGCGTCCCTCACTTATTTTACAAGTCAGCTAACTGGTGGCAGTGCCCTCGGTCTGTCCTCAACGCAGCCGTGTGCCCGTTTCTCCCAGTGACGGGCTGCGTTCTCTCTCCCACCCCCACACAGCTTCCAGACGCACTAGACTCCGTAACTGACGGAAGGCGAGGGCGGGGAGGAAAAGCACATTCAAATCCGCCCTTGTCCTCACTTAGCCACGATCAGCAGTATATTTTGAAATGTCAAAGACTGAAAGGATGCATGTTTCAATTCTCAAAAGGGAGCACAGGTTAAAACAAGTTGCAGGATCACTGCCCTCAATCCACGTGGCTGAACACAGGATGGGTTGTACACTACGTGAGCCCGCCCCGAGCGAACCAGGGTGCAGGAGTTGGGTGCAGAGGGAGGCAGCGCTGACGTGCCCCGCGCGCCTGTCGCGGTGCCAATCGGAGCACGTCTAGAATTCCAGCCTGCCCTGGGCAAGCAGCTCTCCCACCTACGCGCAGCTCGCCCGCACCCGCCACCACACTGCAGGCACCCAAAGACGCCCACACCCACCACCACACTGGGGGCACCCAAAGACGCCCACACCCGCCACCACACTGCGGGTACCCAAAGACGCCCACACCCGCCACCACACTGCGGGCACCCAAAGAGTAAACAGCATTCAAGCTCCGTGCTCTCCTCAGGCAGAAAAAGGTTCTTAAGTCACTTCGTAGCCACGTTTCATCCACAAGGAAAGCAACCGCCGCAACCTTTCTTTACAAAGCAAGTGGACTCCACAGAGCAAAAGGCCAGACTGTTTGAAACCTCTCGTCGCAACTTCCCCACCCGTCTCCATAATTCTCGGCCCAGGTGAGCAGGAGAGCTGAGGATTAGGGACTAGTTGGAAATTTCCTTAACCTGTTGGCAGCAGTCACCACGTGGAAATGTTTCTTGAGATAAGGAGAGAAAAGAAGGAAAAAAGCATTATCTTTAGACCCATTGTTTTCAGAAAAACAATAGAAGGACTTAAGCAAGTTGGGCACTTGAGTTTCTTTAAACCTGATAACCTAATGGGGAAGTGAGATTCTAGCAAACAAGCAGAAAGGCCCTGACTTTCGGGGGCTGTTTGGAGCAAGTATAAGTGAGATCATGCGTATCCTCACGTGGAAAACAGCCCACCGGGGGTCCTGGAATCAGATCGGTGGGTTATGACCAGAATTTCTGGAATGAAACCAAATATCAGAAAACATCAGAGGACATCACTGTGTGGGAGGCAAGCATGATACTTGTGTCTCGGGTGCACGTGGCTATGGCCGCTCCTGCTGCTCTCAGGGTGAAGCACAGCTTCTTGTTTTTTAAACGAGGCTCTGAGTCAGTATCAAAAGTTGGGAAACCACTTCCCTCAGTGACTGGGCTTTTGAAGACAGATTTTATGCCCTTGATACCAAAGAGTTCTGTTGTAAACAAAATTACAAAACTTTAGGATTGAGCTTTCCCAGCCCGTTTCTGACATGTGGAATCCAGACCTCAAACTGCAGTTGTCACTGAGGACATGAGCTCTGACCTCATTCTATCACCTCAAGTGTCCACATAAGTACAAACTAAACGCCACTATTACGCCCAGTCATTTTGGGTCTGTGGCAATTCTTATTGAAGCTAACAGGTTTGGACAGAGAGGGGTTTTTCTCCTTAAACAACCTTTTAATTTGGAATCAAAGTGTAAGTAGAAACGTAGCTACAACTCTTTCGAAGGACACGTTAGGAAGGCAGGGAACTCTGAGAAAAGCTACCTTCCACTTCCTGTGAGCCATGTACTTCTGCAGCAGGAGCTGGGATTTGAGCCGAATTTTGGACTTGGAAGCTTTGGCCGGCAAGTTATTCAGCCACTCGTGTTTCAGGCACTGGGTGGCGCTCATTCTGCAGCTGGGAAGTCAAACAGCGGTTGTGTTTAGTTGGTGCTGCCTTTTCTGGTTGTGGAAAATTAATTCAGTTGGGTTGGAAGCCTGAGACAGTGGGTTAAGATTCATCACCGCGGCAGACTCGTGCCACGTCCCCCAAGGGGAGCTCCTCACGTCTAAAATCCTTCTCAGAAGTGCAAGAGAGTCGTCAGCAAAATGTCCCCAGGCCTCCGTAGAGGGCCTGCATCCCAGGGATTGAGTGCCACCTCCCAGGAGCGGGGACACCAAGGCAGGGCCGCAGGCCAGCTGTGCCTGAGGAGCTTTTAGGAAGTAAAACATGAGCTTTGCAGGAAGCTCATCACCCCTTTGGGAGAATTGTGTCAACTTGTTCATCTCAAAGGCAATATTTTCCCTCCCACAACCTTTCACAGTCAGAAAGGAACAAAGACAAAGGTGAGGAACTCAACTGTCTTGGAGCCCAGACCCACAGGCCTGCCCCGTCATTCCCAATGTCTGCGGATCGGAAACTGAACGGTGCGCCCGTGAGGCCGGCTTCGCTGCTGGACACTAAGGGGCCTTGCGGATCAAGAAACAAGGGTTTCTGGCTTTTATTCTAGGAAATAACATCTGTATAGCTCAACTTTTTTCAACATTAGCCTGTTAAAATGGATAACTTGGAAATGGGGCTAATTTGTAAATATGGCCTTTTCTAAAACTCCATCTAAATGTTATGCTCCAAGGTGTTTGTTTTTGAATTATTTCCTTTGTCACTTTCCCTGCCTTTTTTGATCCAAAGAGGTAGCAAACTAAGAAATCCTGGACAGATGGATCCACAGGGAGAAAGGACCTGCCGGGCACACCTGACTCTCACTGTCCCCCATCGGTGGTCACCATTAGAATACTTTATGAGTGACACACAGTTAAGGTACCTCTTCTCTTTGACCAGCAGCCGGGAAACAAAATCCTTGGCATCTTCCGACAGCCCCTCAAAGGTGTCAGCGTCGAAATCCCAGCAACAGTTCACAATGAAGTTCATGGTCTCGGCATCTGTTTCCCCTAGAAACGGGGACAAACCGCTGAGTCTGCAGAGGAGGGAAAGGACCATCAGTATGCGGAGGCCACATCTGCCAACACGCAGCGATGAAACAGAGAGGGATCCTAGGGGTCTGAGCAGAACCAACCAGAACCAAGAGGGTTCAACTGAGAAACAGCCCCATCGCCTCAGCCCCAGGGGGAGGTTAGGGGAGGAGGGAGGAAGGGCCCAACCATTGGAGGCAGCAGCTGTTTGAATAAATCTGGTCATGCTCACCTCTGTTCCCCTCCCGTGAAGTGAAGAGCAAATTGGGGCCTACCCAGTAGGTCCATTTATCAGGTGCACATTGGCTTAATCTAAACAGCTTAGCATGCCTCCAAGACAGCCAGGCGGATCCAGATACTCCGCAGGCCTCAGGACGAGGGCAGTGAGGCAGGGCACCCCCACTGGCGGGCCTGGTGCCTCCCACGTCCCCGCCTGGTACAGGACGTGCACACACAGCATGGGGACAGGTCACAGACATGCCCTAATAAGACTGGAGCAAAGCATGACTTCATGGGGCCAGGAAACAGCCAAGAGAATGTGCACAGAGGAGGCTGTTTAGTCTGGGCACCAGCCTCAGTCCATCCTAACTGCCTGGTCAGCCCACAGGACACGGAGCAGGGGGAGGGGCAGGTCAGCCGGTCCGGCTGGTCCCACCTGCCCACCCTCACTGCACTCCG